CCCCTGTGTTCCTTAAACATCATTTTGTTTTTTTATTGGGTTTTTTATTTCTTTTCATGTTCCCAAGCAGAAGAATTGGGAAAGAAACGTACCATTTTCCTCTATTCTCACACGTGACGAGCTAAGAAGTCATAAACACTTTCGGAATCTGGACTTCTGAGAATCCACTCTTACAAAATAGCACCAAAACTTTGAGAATATCCTTAAAGTGGACTCTTTTCCACAAGTCTAGTGATGAAACAAAGGCTTCCAACAATCAGAGATTAATTTATCCAAGTAAAGCAGGAAGAATAGTAAATTTTGCAGCATTTTAACATATCCTATTCCCATCTTCTTTTACCCAGCCCACAGCAACAGCAAAAGCCAAAATACCTGTTGCCACAGTATCTGAAAAGCCAGCACCTGGCATCCACTGGAGTGAGCAGAATGATTGTAGATCACTCTAAATAAACCGATCCCTAGAGAACTTTCAGTATATGACTGTCAGGCAACTCTCTAAAAAGAAAAGTGTCAGTCACAGCCCTTGTCTTCCTACACTAACAGCCCTTTTCCAAGGGCATTTTGGAAAGTATAAGCAACAGTTGTTTAATATCTAGACTGCCTAAGGCAGACCATAATAGTTGGGGACAATAATACAATAAACAAAAAAGCAGTCTAATCCCAACAGTGTATAAAAAGGGTAACACACCTATAACCAAATGGAATGTATCCCAGGAATTGAACATAATTGAACATTAATTGAACATAAAATCAATCAATGTAATGTTCCAGTGGAGGGAAGAGTAAGACACATAAGATCATGTTCACAGACACAGAAAAAGTACTTGATAAAATCTGACAATCTTTCATGATCAAAACATGTGGAAAGTGTAACTAGAAGAGAACCAGATAAACACAACTATGGAAAACTATAAAAGGCTTTTTGTCTTAAGATCTAAATTGAGCCAAATATATTCACTCTCCCTACTTCATCACTTTACTGGAGATAGTTGTTAGTTCAGTTAGGTAAGAAAAACAAACCAGCATACAGTTCAGAAAGGAGAAATTAAAACTCTACTTACGGATGGGATGGCATTATCTGGTATAGAGAAAAGCCTAATGAATAAAGAACAACAAAAATCGTTAGTTCTAATAAATGAGACAGGTACAACTGCAACATACAATATCAACATGCAAAATCAGTAAACAATAACCTTGGGGAGACATTATTTTGAACTGAGCTCAGAAAGTAGGCTTCAACAGACCAGACCAAAATGGAATTGTCACGCTGACTGTCACGTAATGAAAACAACACTTTAAGGACCCAAATAATACTCAAATTAGATGAGTATTTTGGAAAACAGGAGATTTAGTCTACCTGAGTCCACATAATGAGTAAGTTCGCTCTACTTTGATACTTAACCACAAAAAAAAAATAACTGGAAGTAATTTGATGTTAAAAATTAGCTTTTTTCTCTTTTTGTTTTATTTTCTTCTCCCTCCTATATGTAACCTATTGTTCTGTTATTGTCTAGTGGGAGCCTTTCATAAATTAGTTATTCCAATTTATGAATTATGACTAAATGTTTTAATTAAATTTGTGAAATTTTTATCTCTTGATAGTTTCTATGTAGTATCACTAAATAATCCAAAATTAAATTTGAAAGAAAATAGCATCAAAATTAATAAAGCACTAACCAATAGAATTAAAAAAATTAAATGTAAGACCTATAAACTGAAAATTATAAGGCATTATTGGAAGAAAATAAATACCAAAAAATGGAAAGATATTCCATACTGATTAACTTGGAATTTTAGTAAGGTTCAAAATTATACAACTAATAAAAAGCATAGTCAGGAATTGAACTAATATAGTTTATAGAATACTATAGTCTAAACTACTGTTATCTGAGTTTTACACTCATCTCTGGGCTTTACCGAAAGGCTGGTCCCTTAACTGGCTAATACAATATACTAACTGGAAACTGTTAACAGTATTTAAATAGCTTCATATACTCCATTTCATAAATATGTAAGTAAAACTTTAATGCTTCTCCCACCACAGTAAGTGATATGGGCATATCAATCAGTGTGGCAAGATCTACAAGAAAGATGTGAAGAAATCCAGTTTTCTATTTCTCAGACCATACCACCCAAGGATTGTCAGAGAACACAATGTTTGTGAGTTTAGCCCATAACATCAGCCAGACTAAGGTAACAGTTCTGGCTCTATCTTCTACCAACAAATACACCTTGGTGTCATTAGCATCATCTATAAAATGAATAATGTTCTACAAACTGTTATAGAAGCATGCAAACATGCATTCCTGTGTGTATGTATACATGCTTACATTGCTTATGTTTTCCCATTGCTCTTAAAACTAGTCTGCATTTCTTACGGTGGCTCAAGATTAGATCATTTGATATGCTTTTTAACCTCTCCCTACCCACAAATCTCATCACTTATCATTAAAAGCCTCACATTACAAGCTGCAGCCACACCAAGACTGCTTTCAAGATGAACCATGCTCTTCTTCACCTCTATCTATGCCTTTAGTTACATAATCGTCTCTGCCTTTGGTGTTTACTCCCTATGCCCTCTCTTCTCCTGTGTCTGGCCATCTTCTACACATCCTTTAATAATCCACTCAGGTATTGCCCCACCCAGGAAGCCTCATTCTTGTTCCCTTTAATGCCTTGTCCATATCTCTTCCAGTTTCTGTACTGCACAGTTGTAAAACTGTCTTCGGGAGGGGGGTCCTTCTTTGCATGTTCATATTGTTGTCCATCAGAAAGCAGTCACCTTTCTTCCTTGGCTGCTTGAGGATAGCCACCATGATGAATGACACAATTGTCAAGACCAGGAAATTCATGACCAACCATCTACCTCAGAAGAAACAAATGGTCATCTATGCCCTTCAGTCTGGGAAGGCAAATTTCTGAAGACAGAAATTTGGCTACAGTTAGCCAAAATACCCACAGCCATACATAAGGCCAAATGTCATTATTGCATTTGAATGCGGAACCCACTATGGTGGTGGCAAGACAACTGACTTTGGCATGATTTATGATTCCAAACACAGACTTGTAAGACATGGTCTATTTGAGAAGAAAATAAACAGTGAAAGGAACACAAGATCATATTGGAAAAGGTCAGGGATGGGGGTGGGGAGGGTTTGAAAAGGCCAACATCTAAACTAGCAAAATGCAAGAGGACTAAAGATTTTGGGGTGACTTGATTGCTATGATGAGATACATTCCTAAGGAGAGAACTAATAAACTGTAAAAACTTAGAGAAGAAAAGGCTTTTTACTCTTTTGATACATCTGTGTTCCTCACTAGATTGAATTCTCTCAATGATTTTTCCCATTGAATCTGAAATTCTAGCTTTACCCTTCAGCTTTCCTATACCTTCTTGGACTTCTTTGGCATAGTCTGTGATGCCTAGAAAAGTAAAAAGGATCTATACGGTTCTGTGTATCAAATTGTGGAGAGGAGTTCTGAGAACATAGTAGGAATTATGACCATATTTGGGTGAAATGAGGTCAGGGGATAAAAATACGTTGGAAATTAGAAAGCATTTGGTATACCTAATGTGTGTGAGAGTGTGTGTGAGTGCATGTGTGTCACACATATGCCTGGTGACCACAGAGGTGAGAAGAGGATATTGGATACCCTGGGACTGGAGTGTTACAGATGTTAATAAGCTTCCATGTCAGTGCTTAGAACTGAGCCCATATCCTCTACAAGAACAACAAAGTGCTCTTAAACACTGAGCCATCTCTTTAGTCATAGAGATTAATTTTCATAGTTTCATAATTTTTATCTGCTTTAAACCTAAAAACATATGATGGCGTAAACACATTAGAATGTTCTCATACATGTAATGTTTCAATATAAATATTCTTGGTGAGCAAGATAGTTCTCTTCCTCGTGGATATTGAGGGACGTGGGCTCACAAATGCAACCCAAATGGGGTAAAGCCACAGAGGAACACAGATGGAAAACTTCTATGGGCCAATTCTTTGACTGTCAGACATCATTTCTATTCCTATTCCATTAATGAGAACTTAATCGCTTGGCCGGGGATGCGGAGAAATAGTCTATCCATGTGCTCAAGGAGAAGAATGATTCAATTGAGAAATTTTGGTCATTGTAAATGTAATAGTAAAGTTGGGATAGTTTGCCTTAGGTGTTGGGTAAATGATGGAAGAGGTTTCTGTCCTTTCTGCTAGTATGCTACATGGTGTAGCTATGTTAAGCTGTCCCCCAGGAAGCTTGAATAGTCAAATGTAGGCAGTATTTCAAATCATGGTTGACAGCTGAGCTCCCTATTGAGTCACTTACCAGGAAGTAGCAGCTGGAGGGTGACTTGCATTGCTGATTATTCCTTAATTATTAATCACTGACACTTTGTAAATTGCCTTAAGTCAAATCCCAGCTGGGTTAGTATACAATATTACAACGTTGGCCCCCAAATATTTAGCTGTGTTGTATGTCTAGGCTAGAAGGGGTATTAAATAGACAGCAAAGTAGCAACATGATTTACTGCAAACCAGTCAATTGATACTCAAAACAAAATGGGAAAAAGGCAAAATTAAGAAAGGGACTAATTTCCATTTCAAACCATGGCCACAGGCATGGTTTATTCTCTGGCCGTTTGTTTCCTAAAGCAACTGTACACTTCTTGATGGTGACTGCATGGATGCAATGGGAATGGATAGAAGCAAATCAGTCTAACATAAAAATTCCCATGATTCTCAGCTGAGAGGCATGTATATTCCCAGGAAAATTAGGAAAACTGATGTCCAGGCTTTATCCCTCCATACCTTAAGGAGTCTCAGTCCATTAGGAATGGACCTGGGAACCTAAATTTTTCAATGTCTTTTTAATGATTCTCAGTCTTCTGCATGGATTAGTTACATAGTCTGTTACTGGAGAAGACTGTGAATAGAAGTATTATGAACACTGACTGTTTCCTGGACATCTTAGGTGACTAACTTGTTCTTTTCTTTTCCCAGTTTGTCGCTCAGCCAAACTGCCAACAATTGCTTGCCACCTTGTGGTATGATGGCTTCCCTGGATGGCGGAGAAAACACTGGGTAGTGAGCCTCCTGACCTGTATGACCATTGGCTTCCTGTTTCCTATGCTGTCTATAGCCTATCTGATCTCACCCAGAAGCAACCTTGGGCTGTTCATCAAGAAGCCCTTTATCAAGTTCATCTGCCATACAGCTTCCTATCTGACCTTTCTCTTCATGCTCCTCCTGGCTTCTCAGCACATCGTCAGGACAGACCTCCATGTACAAGGACCTCCCCCAACTGTTGTGGAATGGATGATACTACCTTGGGTTTTAGGTGTGTGAAACAGAACAGCAATAATGACCAGGCTGTCTTCTGGTTCTCCTTGAAAAATAGTACTGGAACATGTACTCAGAGTAGCTCTGAACTAGCACTCCTCCTAGTAGGCCTTTGTTAAGAATCTAAGAAATGTGGTTCCTTCTTTCCTAGGTTTTGATCACTCAGTTATGCATGGACCACTGTAAACCATGCACATTCTCAGGGGTTGTATCTGCTCACCTAATATCTTCCAGGATGGAAGAAAAATGGCTGTTAGTTGGCTTAGGGGAAAAAGCTTTGTGTCAGTCCATATAGGCTTCAGATAAACTAGACAGGGCAAGTGCTGAGCATTCTTTTCTTAATTAATTTTTATTTAAATTAAAAACAATCTTATTTTACATGCCAATCCCAGTTCCCTCTCCCTCCCATCCTCCCCTGCCCCACCAACCCATCTCCCACCCCCCATCCACTCCTCAGGGAGGGTGAGGCCGTCTGTGGGGGATCGTCAATGTCTGTCACATCATTTGTGGCAGGACCGAGGCCCTCCCCCATGTATCTCCGCTGAAAGAGTATCCCTCCATAGGGAATGGGCTCCAAAAGTCCTCTCATGCACTAGGGATAGATACTGGTTCCACTGCCAGAGGCCCCATAGACTTCCCAGTGCTCCTAACTGACACCCATGTTCAGGAGGCCTGGTTTGGTCCTATGCTGGTTCCTCAGCTGTCAGACTGGAGTCCATGAGCTCCCCCTTGCTCAGGTCAGTTGTTTCTGTGGGTTTCCCCAGCATGGTCTTGACCCCTTTGCAGAGCATTCTTTTTAAAGCACCCTTTCCCATGACCAGAAGGCACATGGATTCTGCTGATTTCTTGTGTTTGTGTCTAGTTCATATAATCCTAGCTCCTGCTCAGGTTCCATGTTCTATTTGGATCCCACAGTCAGCAGAGAAACCTGGGAAATTCACACTGGTTTTGGTAAAGCTGATCTACTTTACCTGTGGTCTCTAGGCATAATTAAATGTCACTGGGCTCTGTATAAATGCCATCTTCTAAGTCTTTATCACCCAAATTATGATCACCAAACTAGCATTATGAGCATTACTTATCAGATACATCTTAAGTGTTACCCTGGATCTGGAAGTTAACAGCATTCCCTAAAGGGTTCATATGTAAAGTCTGGAAAGTGACAGACTTGAATAAAGCCACATACTTTTACTGAAATATCTCTGTCATCAGGCAAAATTCCACAAAAACCAAATATAATAAGAGGAAAACAGAGAGCTTTTCTCCTTAGCACCAAGTGGAAAGTAAGAACCATGGACTAAAACTGATGAAGTCAATTTATCACACTCCAAATGGGAGAAAATGTACAACACAGTGCCTAAAATTTCAGTAGCTAAAATAAAATTTAAGACAAATTGCAATACCATCCAATTAAGATGGACAAAGTGAACAGTAAATATTTTAGGAAATATTCATCATCATTCTTTGACATCAGGGAAATAAAAATTAAAACTACTTTGAAGTTTTCTCTCATTCTAGATATAATGGCTATCATCAAAAAAGTAAGTGATGCCATGTACTGGCAAGGGTGCAGGAAAAGAAGCCTCGTTGGCTGCTGGTGAGACACTTAAGCGTCAACATGGAAATCAATGTGGTAGTCTCATAAAATTATACTATTCCTGGCTCAGGTACCCAAAAGACCCACTATTCTGCCATAGAAACACTTGTACCTCTATGTTTATTGACAATAGCAAGAGAATGGAACCAGCCTAGATGTCCATCAACAGATGAAGGAATAATGAAAACAGAGTACATACATACAATGGAAGTTTATTCAGTTGTGAATAATAATAAAATTGTAAAATATACAGGAAAATGGGTGGACCCGGAAAACATAATGAATGTTTCTTAGAAAGATAAATACCCCATGTTCTTTTATATGCAGATCCTTGCTTTTAATGCTCAGATAAATATATGAGTGTGAGTGTGAATAGAGATCATAAAACTAGAAAGAAGACCAAGACAGAGAGAGAAAATGGGTATTGAAGAGGAGGAAATAGAACGAATGTGACCTGAAAGTAGAAAGGCAGCTACCAGGAGTAGAGGGCGAAAGGAGGGAGAAGAGAGGTGGGTCAGAAAGGGTGTTAGGAATTATGCTTTATGCTTCAAAATGCCATAATGAAACCTAATACTTTAAAATTTTGAAAAGTAAAAGGGAAGAGTGCCCAGATATGTGAAAAGCATACTAGATTTGACAAAGTCAAAATTGGGAGATTGGGTAGCCAAGAAAAGAGAACTAAATGACCTCTTAGAGCTTACCCACTCAGCCATGTTCATTCATGAATCTCCCCTTTATTCATCTGGGGGGCTCCTGTTGTGATGTTCAACACTGCCTTGATCTAGTAATAAACTTCTTGCCTCCATTCTTCAGGTTTCATTTGGGGGGAGATAAAGGAAATGTGGGACGGTGGATTCACTGAATACATCCATGACTGGTGGAACCTAATGGATTTTGCAATGAACTCCCTCTACCTGGCTACTATTTCCTTGAAGATTGTGGCCTATGTCAAGGTAAAATGAGATGTGTAGGATTTTTCTTCCTCAATTATTTTGCATGGGTTATGTCAATAAAATTTTGTACTGGGAGCAGGAAAATTTTATGGGGAAAATGAATGAGTGTTCCATAAATGTTAAAAAAAAAAACACGGAGACTCTTTCAATAGTCTGTAAGCAGTGTCTACTTAAGCAAAGCCAGTGGTGAATGGGACATTTTTCAGATGAACCCTTAAGATTCTCAGACTTTTAGGGTAGAGGTGTCTTCACCCTTCAGTGCTTAAGCATCGATAATGTTATTTTGAAGAACATGGCACTCTGATGCAGCACAGGGTAGCGATAGGAAAGTCACTAAATCCACTACCTCCAAAAAGCTTCAACTGTTATCCCTTTTGTAAAATCAGTTATTTTCGCATGCCATATCCACTGTGGAGACATACAGAACAAAACTGCTTCCTCTTTGTAGTAGCATGTCTCGTATAGGTAGCATCAGCTCTCCTTTACCTTCTGAGTCATTGCTTCACAAAGCCAAACATCACCACTTCCCTTGCCATTCTTCATATGACAAGCAGCAGCAGGACTCCAGAAGCTGTGTAATACACAGGTCTACAGTCACCTCTGCTTTCTTCATTACTTATTCTGTCAGGATAGACATGCACTCAGCTACATACCCAAATTTTTCATTATCAATCAACCTATATCCTTCTACCAGTTCAGAAAATGTATACTGTCCGTACCCCACCACTTTCATCCTTAACCAATGCACAAGCACCTTAAATTATTCTGAAAATCATTTTAATGTGCACAATTTCAATTTTAATGGGACCTGTAAGTTGGTAGAATCTGGTTCACTTATCCACATAGATACAAGCCATATAAGATGACCTTCCCCAGGCCAAATGAGATAACAAGTGTGAAGGAAAGTTGCAGGCACCTCTCCACAGGCCCCTGTATTTGGGGGTAATCACAGGTCTGAGTTCAGGTCTGGTACTTAATACAGAATGTGTAGCTGTGCTCCTTCTAACCAGAGTGGAGCTTTTTCCCTGCAAGGAAAGGCTGACAATTCATTCCCCAAGATGTCTAGTCAGTCATGCTTTTGGTATTAAATTTCACTTTGAGGACTTTTAGAATGGGAATATGGCTGTCCCCCAAGTCTCCAACAACTTCGTTTATTTTTATATCCCTAATATGCATATTGCATAAATTGCAAGACCTTGAGAGTTATATAGAGCATGAATATTGAATGCATTCATGAAACATTTTTGAAAGGAGCCCAAGAGTATGCCTTATGTGTGTGGTGATCATTTAACACATTCTTACAACTTTCTTAGAAGAAAAACCTGGTGAAGAAAATCTTTGACTCTCTCGTTAACCTGCCTGGGTTAACTCCCTGGCACATGGGCATTCTTCTAGCTAAGTAACACAGTTTTCCTTTTTAAAATGCATTGTATGCAAGTATAAAATTAATAAAAATATTGTATTTTTTAAATCTCTTCTAAAAGTAGAGAAACCATAACTTATCAATCTTGAAATTACTAGGTTTTGTTTAACCAGGAAAGAGTAGACTATATGATGAAAATAAATATTTCTATTTGGGATATTAAAATGTGTCTACAGATGCTCAACATCAGTGAATCACATCATCTTCCCAATTTCACTGGTGAGGCTTCCAAAGAGCTAACTACTTCTCCATCACAAAGTATAATAAACCCACTCTGCTAAGTTCATAAATTCTGCCTCTTACCACTCTAAGGAAACATAGGTAAGACATGTCACATGCACAATTTGGATATTTTTCAAGACAGGGTTTCTCTGTGTAACAGCCCTAGCTGTCCCGGAACTAGCTCTATAGAGCAGGCTGGCCTCGAACTTGGAGAGATCCACCTGCTTCTGCTTCTGCCTCTGCCTCCTGGGTACTGGAAGTAAAGGCATGGGCCACCTTGCCTGGCCAGAATTTGAATTTTTCAAACATATTTATATGTTTGAGTGTTTTTGTGTACATATGCTTAGTGACCATAAAGACCATAAAGGCTAAACTTGGAGTTACAGTTAGATATGAGCCACCATGTTGGTGTTGAGAATTGAACACAGGTTCTCTACAAGAGCAGCAAGTATTCTTAACCACTGATCCATCTCTTCATTCCCCAGAATTTAGATGTTTTAAATGAGAACTTGTGAGAAGAGTGTGGTCCTCTCATCCACACACACACAAAAAAAAATGCAACCAGTTTAGACATTGCCCAAGCAGAATGAGACAACCATTAATACTGAAGTCACACCTAGTAGTGGTGGTGCATACCTTTAATCTCAGCACTCAGGAGGCAGAGGCAGGAGAAACTCTGTGAGTTTGAGACCAGCCTGGTCTACAGAGTGAGTTCTAGGACAGGCAGGACTACACAGAAAAACCCTGTCTCCAAAAACAAAAAGAGGAAGAAATTCACAAAAAAAAATCCATAAGCCCCTTGGAACACTTTAAATCACTGTTGTTTGGAGACAATACAGACTTGAAATGAGATAAATTGACATTTAAAAAATTCTTAATTCATTAATTTATGTTAAGTGTGTGTGTTGTGCACATTTGGAATGGGTGCTGTTGAATGTCTTCCTCGATGCCTTTCCAGCTTATTTTTTTCAAAGTGTCTCGCTGAACCTGGAACTCATTATTTCAGTTAGACGGGTCGGCCAGCAAGCCCCTGGGATCTACCTATTTCCATCCTCCTCCCAAGCAGTGGGGTTATACCACTGCACTTGACTTTTACATGAGTGCTAGGGATCTGAATTTGGGTTCTCTTGCTTTCACAGTAAGCAGTTTACCCACTAAACCAGTTCCCCAGATCCAGATTTTTCTTTGTTTATTACAGTGAAAAATTCATTAACAATACGTACTTCACCTCACAGGGTTTAAAACAACAAGAATCAAAAAACATTCACCACAGTAACCCAAAGTACAACTACACATATGATTGATCCTCAGTGTCCACAGACAACCTTTCAAATGAAGAATAGTTAGCACTTTATTTTCCAGCATACCACTTAGGTCTATCCCTCTGCTACCCTCATCCATACACAGACTAAATATGGACTTTAGTGAGTTGTAGACATTTCTTCAACATTTACTTTACTATAGACATAATCACCTCTTCATGTTCATACCATCATCAAGCCCCTGTGTTAAACTATTCCCCTTCATATTTTGCTTTTGGGTTAACAGAATGTAATCCACACCTCTTTGGGAAAAAAAAAAGTGAGGCCAGGTTTCAAACTGCAATCCATTTAAAAGAATACGTGAAAAGTCATTTACTTCCAAGTATCAGTAGTCTGGCTTCTGGACACATGGATTTGATCCCTACGCACACTTGTGAGCTAGATCACCACCAGCCAATCCCTCTTCCTCTCAGAGCCTCAGTCCTGCCTCTGATAAATAAGCAAATTAAACTTCATTAGTGATTTTCAAGCTTTGTGTTCCATGGAAACATATCATCAAGCACATACGTACAGAGAACTGCAGTATATAAAATAGCCCAAAGGGCTAAGTTTGGCATAAGGAATCATCTAGTCTTTTTCTTTGGCTCCCACAATGGTCATTAGATGCCTCCATTAAACCCTGAGGGTCTAAGAAATACAGTTTCAAACTTACAATATTAGATCATGGGTTATTAAGCTATGGTCTATGGACCAAATTTGGCTCACTGTCACATACGTTTGTCTATGTACTGTCTTTGGTCACAAAGGAAGTAAGTGTTATGTTGTGACAGAGACCCACAGCTGACAAAGCCAAAACTATGTACTATCTGACACTTGACATAAAAATGCTGTTGACATCTATGCTAGAAGAACTCTGAGCTAATTTCCCATCACCCACCTGCTAAGGGGCTGTTCTCCAGAGGCATAGGATGCAAACTAGAGATGTGCCAGGAGAATTGTTTCTCATACTTCTGAGTATTCTGCACTTTCGTATTTGCCATCCTGTGGGAACAGCCTTCCCTGTGGTGGAGAGACAGAATAAAAGTAAAATAAACTACAGACTGTACAATACTCATCTGATTATTTCTCATTTTAAAACACGTTCTGTTTGGTTGTCAGCAAAGAACCTCCATCTCTCCTATCGATCTCAAAACATGTAAAGACGTTTGTAACATCTGTGTTGTAAGATCAACCCCCACGTGAGTGATATTTCATGGAAACAGTGCTAGACTTAATGGAAAAAAACCTGGGGTTCTAGCCCTACCACCAAATTCCACCAAATTTGCTGGGTGATCTCTAACAAGTCAGTCTGCCTCTCTGGGATTTCAGTTCCTCCATTTGTGAGACAGGCGTCCCACCCACTTGCTCACAGCAATGCAACAACTTCTTTTTGTTTACTTTTTTCTTTGAAGGAAAATGTGGGGAATTTGACTAAGATTACACAAAGCTGATCAGACACCAGAAAGCCTATGCTAAATAGAAGCACACACCTGTCACATTCTCTCCGATTCCTCTGACAATGAAGAACATTGGTCACACACATGATTTTAACACCATCAGTTTTATTGGCTGTTGGAACTGAAGCACACTTGAGAAATACTTACAAGATAATTTGACCCCGAACACATTTTCTCAGGAATGTCATCTACATTTAGTCCTCAAAACTTTGAGGTATTTAAATGAGAGTATATATAAGTAATGGTGCTTCAGACTGAATTCCAAGCAAAACCCACTTCTGTCCTTGGGAAAGTTAACAATTGGTCCCTTATATTTCCATATCATCATCCCTTATGGAGTACAGAGACTCTTTTTTGTTTTGTTTTTGCTTTGTTTTTTTTTTTTTTGGTTTTTTGTTTGTTTTGTTTTTTGAGACAGGGTTTCTCTGTAGGTTTGGAAACTGTCCTGGAAATCTCTTTGAAGACCAGGCTGGCCTCGAACTCAGGAGATCCACCTGACTCTGCCTCCCGAGTGCTGGGATTAAAGGCATGCGCCACCAATGCCCGTCTGAGTACAGAAACTCTTGCACATAAATACAGAATCACAAACAATACAGCAAGTAGGAATGACATTACCCTTCTTTTATTGTGAAGATAAAAGTTACAGGCAGGTTTTTTATTTTTTATTTAAATTAAAAACAATCTTCTTTTACATGCCAATCCCAGTTTCCTCTCCCTCCTGTCTTCCCACTCCCCCCACCATCTCCCCATCCCACCCTCCATCCACACCTCAGAGAGGGTGGGGCCTTCCATGGGGGATCATCAAAGTCTGTCACATCTTTTGGGGCAGGACCGAGGACCTACCCCCTGTATCTAGGCTGAAAGAGTATCTATCCCTCCATAGGGAATGGGCTCCAAAAAGCCAGCATATGGCAGTTTTAAGGGACAGTTTTCAAACTGGAGTCCAGAGCTTCTCCTCTCACACTTTTCTAGGAGGCTATTCCCCACATTCCAGAAGATAGAGGCCTTCAAGAGGCTGCAAATGGGCAACAAACCATATAAATACTAGCTAGTCCCTCTCCTTCAACTTCCTGGTTCTTCATTTGCACTGGAAGGCCTTTCTAACTTGTAAGGTTGTTAAAGAAACAGTAAAATACATCCATATGCTGCTATGTGGAGAATTACTAAATTTGCTACCTGGAAGGTTGACATGCCATTTGCAATGGTGTAGAATATATTACAAACTGATAAAAATGCAGCAGAAAGCTCTGAGGAAAGGCTCCCTCAGGACTCTCTCTATCAGCCCTAAACTGTAGGCAGCAGAGCCTGGAGAATGAACACTGAGGTGCTTGCATCTATCTATTGTCCTTCAGTACTTGAAAATTGACCATGTCTTTCAAACCAATGGCTGGGGAAGTGTAAATCTGAATTGAAATCTCACCAAGAAGTGGAATAATTGGTCCCTACTAGCTTGAGCACCCCAATGGCTCCTTTTCAGCAACACTCAACAACAATCTGGTAAACTCACAGTTAGAAATGTCTGTTGATAAACCCCAGGTGGCTGGCGCAGATGATGCCTCTGAAATTCCTTCTGCTATGTATATATGCTTGGTATATATTTGGATAAGAGTGGGAGGGAAAGACTTATTAGCACTGTGTACTGATTGAATGGGGCAAAAAGACAAACAAATAATGCCATGCACAGAGAATTTTATGTAAGCTGAGTATTGGGTGCATATTGTGTGTGTGGAAAGGTACAAAGGGAAAAATTTGGAAATGCTCACTGTACTTCTCATATTGTGCACTTCTGTTGTTTTTTTTTCTTTTTCAGTATAATGGTTCTCGTCCAAGGGAGGAATGGGAAATGTGGCACCCGACTCTGATTGCAGAGGCGCTCTTCGCAATATCCAACATTTTAAGTTCCTTGCGTCTCATATCCTTGTTCACAGCCAACTCCCACTTAGGGCCTCTGCAGATCTCTTTGGGACGCATGCTGCTTGATATACTCAAATTCCTCTTTATCTACTGCCTAGTACTTCTGGCTTTTGCCAACGGATTGAACCAGCTTTATTTTTACTATGAGACCAGAGCTATCGATGAACCTAACAACTGCAAGGGGATCCGGTGTGAAAAACAGAACAATGCCTTCTCCACGTAAGACTTACATCTCCCTTTCTTTTGTTTTCTTTTGGAATTGCTTTTTGTTCTATTTTCTGTGCACAGCTTCATCAGTATCTCTTGATGGAATAGCAAAGTTCTCTGTAGATCTACCCAAAGGGTCTGGGGTAGAAGAATGTTCTTCCTTCAACATAGAGTACTAGGAAAATAGCATTAGAAGAATAAGTGATTTGACAGAGACACAGAGACAGAGAGAGCCTTGGAGTGACTCCATAAAAAGGTAGTTCTGAGTACACTTTGTGGCATTCAAAACAGTGGCAGCCACAAAGTGAAAGCACAAGACTATTCTCAGGAAGACCTGACACATTAACTTGACTACTGTGAGTCAAGCTCAATGCAAAGGAGACAAAGGTGTCTTAATACACCCCATTGTACATGAGTACACTAGGATAGAATAGGCAGACTTGAGGCAAGATTACAGTCAGCTAGCCTACTAGACGAATTTAACTGAGGTGGGGGCTGATTGGAAATGTCTCTGCTCCCATTTTGGGTGTAGAAGGAAGTTTATGGCTTTGTCCAGAGGTCCAGAGGCTCTGGGCAGGTAACACCTGTGCCTCTCCTTCTTACTGTGAAGACCTCCTTTGGAGTTTTTCACTCCCTAAATGGGTTTAGAATGATAGTTTAAATACAGAAGAGGAAATAGGAAGACGCTAAATGTTGTGACACACTTGGGAGGCTGAGGCAGGAGGTTCATGAGCGTGAGAATAGCCTGGCTACACAGTGAGAGCCTGTCTAAAAGGAGCAAAAGCAAAAAGGGATGGCAGGGGAGAGGGGGGAGGGATGAAGGGAGGACAGAAAGAAGGAAGGAATGATGGAAGGAAGAGAGGGAGGGAGGGAGGGAGGGAGGAAGGAAGGAAGGAAGGAAGGAAGGAAGGAAGGAAGGAAGGAAGGAAGGAAGGAGGGAAGGAAGGAAGGAAGGAAGGACAATTCATACAATTTTCTTAGGTTAGAAGCTACATTTGGCTTCAGTGTCCTTCATTTTGTCCATCCCAACATCCATTATGGAGACCCAAAGCTTGTTAATGAGTCTCAATCATTAAACTAAGAATTCATCTTTTACAATTTTTTGTTTTAACAAGTAACTACACATTTAGTAACTATACAAATCTTGGAGGTACAAAGTGAAGTTATGATACATGAATACACACTGTACAGTGATCAAATCTGGAATAATTAGCATTCACATCAACTCAAGTATTTCTCACTCTTTTGTGGAGAAACATGCAAAATTTGGTCTAGCCAGTTTAAAATGTACAATGTGCTATTCTCATCTGTGGCCTCCCTACTGTCTAACAAAACTCTTTGCTCCCATCCACCTGCAACATTGTTTTTGTTGGCCAATCTCTCTCATCCCACCCACTTTCCACTCTTCCGCAGGCTCCAATAACTCCCATTCCATTCTGTACTTCTACAATGTCAGTTCTTTTATATTCCATAAACTAATGAGGTCATACAGTCTTTTTATGGCTGGGGTATTTTTCCTCCCCTAAATATTAATTTCATTTATTTTTTT